CATGTTAATGAATTAGTAATAGTAGTAATAATGTCAATAATCTTCTTAATATCATCTATTTTTATGATAATACATATGCCCATGTATTTTTAATTTATATCTATTAACTAACTATTATCTGATTGATCCTTTGAAGGAGACCTTCAAATTGAAACAGAGCGATATGACCCCTGCGCGTGATGTAATTAAAGGGAGTCATGTGTAGTCGTAACATGTGATCAGAGGGGACTCATGTGTAGTCGTAACATATGATCAGAGGGGAGTCATGTGTAGTCGGAACATGTGATCAGAGGGGACTCATGTGTAGTCGGAACATGTGATCAGAGGGGAGTCATGTGTAGTCGTAACATGTGATCAGAGGGGAGTCATGTGTAGTCGTAACATGTGATCAGAGGGGACTCATGTGTAGTCGTAACATATGATCAGAGGGGACTCATGTGTAGTCGTAACATATGATCAGAGGGGAGTCATGTGTAGTCGTAACATGTGATCAGAGGGGACTCATGTGTAGTCGTAACATATGATCAGAGGGGACTCATGTGTAGTCGTAACATATGATCAGAGGGGAGTCATGTGTAGTCGTAACATGTGATCAGAGGGGAGTCATGTGTAGTCGTAACATGTGATCAGAGGGGAGTCATGTGTAGTCGTAACATGTGATCAGAGGGGAGTCATGTGTAGTCGTAACATGTGATCAGAGGGGAGTCATGTGTAGTCGTAACATGTGATCAGAGGGGAGTCATGTGTAGTCGTAACATGTGATCAGAGGGGAGTCATGTGTAGTCGTAACATGTGATCAGAGGGGAGTCATGTGTAGTCGTAACATGTGATCAGAGGGGAGACATGTGTAGTCGTAACATGTGATGAGAGCGGAGTTATGTGTGGTCGTAACATGTGATGAGAGCGGAGTTATGTGTGGTCGTAACATGTGATCAGAGGGGACTCATGTGTGGTCGTAACATGTGATCAGAGGGGACTCATGTGTGGTCGTAACATGTGATCAGAGGGGAGTCATGTGTAGTCGTAACATGTGATCAGAGGGGAGTCATGTGTAGTTGTAACATGTGATGAGAGCGGAGTTATGTGTGGTCGTAACATGTGATGAGAGGGGACTCATGTGTGGTCGTAACATGTGATCAGAGGGGACTCATGTGTGGTCGTAACATGTGTGTGTTACCCAGCAGGGCCTGGAACAGGTCACTTTGGAAGATGTTCAACAGTTTTTCAGCGCGACCTTTGGCCCCTTCAGCCGCTCCGGCCTGACAGGCCTCCATCGCCTGCAGAGCGCGCTCAGTATCTGGGGAGGAGAAGCAGCCGAGCTTTACTGGAATTCTACTGTAACACAATAAAGACGTCTAAGCTCCGAGAAACCTCTCCACCTTAAGCTGCAAAGTGTTTTAGACATTAAAACAACGTTTCAACTAGTCCAGCCTGCAGGACTCCAACCAAAAAACTAAATGTGTTTGGTTAAGGGAGATTTATTTATTTATAAATGTCTTATTATCTGTAATCGTTGTTCATTACAGAAAAAGGAAAAATGAAAATCCAGAATGCAGCAGCTCCACCGGTCTTTAACCTTCCTAAGTTCTCCTCCGCTCTCTTCACTGGTACCGGTGGCTCATCCAGTTCTAAACATGGTGCTCACGTACCATGCTGTGAATGGATGGGGTCCAGCTTACATCCAGGACCTGGTCCAACCCGACATCCCGACCTCTGACCTCTCCGCTCTGCATGTGATAAACTGCTTGTTCCTCCTCACTGAGAGCAAAACACTCGACTAGATCTCCACTCTTTGCTGTCCTGCTCCTAAATGGTGGAAGGAGGTCTCTGAAGACATCAGGACCACAGAGAGCCTTCACATCTTCAGACTAAAGACACACCTCTTCAGACTCTACCTCCACTAACACACTAACTGTAGCACTTACATTGGACTTATAACGGTTCTTATCTACAGCAAGTTGTAAATTGGCTTATTAGAGGAAATTGCACTTTCTTGTTTCTTGTTCTTCTCAGTTTGTGTCCTTATGGTTAAATGTTCTTATTGTACGTCGCTTTGGATGAAAGCGTCAGATAAATGACGTGTAAACAAGGGGTCTCAAACACATTTCAGGTCTGGATCAGATGCAGCCTCGACCGAACGCGTGTCAGACCATTGCGTCGACCCTGCAGTGGTCCTGCCAATAATTTGAACAATTTCTGTTATAGGAATTGAATGTATTGTTTTACGTTGTTCATTCTGTACACGTGACATCATCGTCGTCTGTCCATCAGGAGACGGACTCTCCTTTAACGTTTCTTCCCTGTTTTCCACATGGAAGAGTTTTTTCTGTGTCGATGTGAGGGTTTCAAGACAAAGGATGTCACATGTGTACCGACTGTGAAGCCCTCTGAGGCAAATTTGTAATTTGCGATTTTGGGCTATAAAAGTTCAAATGAATTGAATAGAATCTACCTTTGCCTCCCACCTGTCGTGTACCAAACCTCGCATGTCCTCGACTAAAGACTGAAACCCATCTGTGACTTTAACTGCTGTTGTTCTGTTGCTGAGTCGTGCACTTGAGTCCTCCGGTGATCTCCTTGACGTAGAAGTAGGAGCGGTAGCACTAGTAGAAGTCTTAGTTATAGTAGTTATACCTTTGCCACTGTCAAAAGGGTTATCAGGTGCAGTAGAAGTACTACCTGAAGAATACAATAAACCATAGCAATAGTTGCTGTAATCGTGGTAATCTGAGTAGTGGCAGCAGTTGTGCTGGCTTCGTACCTCTAGTAGCAGTGGAAGTAGTGGTAGAGGTGATTGTACCCAATGAAGTAAATCTAAATCTACACGCTGCTGTAGAAGAAAAACCTAGTAAACCTTTAGTAGAAGCAGTAGTGGAGAAGGTGTCAGTAGTAAGTAAGCAGTAAAAGATGTAGTAGTAGTATTATGAGTAGCACAGGGAGCATCACACAGAGAATAATGAACATCACGGATGACCTGATGAAAACAAATACAAGTCACGTCTACACAATAATAAACACACACGTATTTTTGTTAAAGAACGTCTCACCTTCTCTTTTCAGCGGCATGTCGTCTCTGATCCACACAAATCCTCTTTAGGGATTTTACAAACAAACACAATGAATGCTGGGTAATGAAGTCCTAATCCCAGCAGCCCTCTGTGACACAGTTAAACACACACGTGACCACGCCCTCCTGCGGTGGAGATGCTGTCCGTCCAGTTTGATTGACAGTTCCGTTAAACTAATTGGTTTTCATTCTTGTTGAATGGTTCTCTTAAATATGAGATTTAAATAAATCTAAAAATAACAACATAACATAAACTACATTCTGAAAATAAGAGCTTCATTTTAAAAATGTAAATAAAGATTAAAGTGTAAAACATTTGAAAGGGACTGTGAAGTGTGGCACGGTGGTGGTGTGGTGGTTAGCACCGTCACCTCACAGCAAGAAGGTCCTGGAGCACCGTCACCTCACAGCAAGAAGGTCCTGGAGCACCGTCACCTCACAGCAAGAAGGTCCTGGAGCACCGTCACCTCACAGCAAGAAGGTCCTGGAGCACCGTCACCTCACAGCAAGGAGGTCCTGGAGCACCGTCACCTCACAGCAAGAAGGTCCTGGAGCACCGTCACCTGACAGCAAGTAGGTTCTGGAGCACCGTCACCTGACAGCAAGAAGGTCCTGGAGCACCGTCACCTGACAGCAAGAAGGTCCTGGAGCACCGTCACCTGACAGCAAGAAGGTCCTGGAGCACCATCACCTCACAGCAAGAAGGTCCTGGAGCACCGTCACCTGACAGCAAGAAGGTCCTGGAGCACCGTCACCTCACAGCAAGAAGGTCCTGGAGCACCGTCACCTCACAGCAAGAAGGTCCTGGAGCACCGTCACCTCACAGCAAGAAGGTCCTGGAGCACCGTCACCTCACAGCAAGAAGGTCCTGGAGCACCGTCACCTGACAGCAAGAAGGTCATGGAGCACCGTCACCTCACAGCAAGAAGGTCCTGGAGCACCGTCACCTCACAGCAAGAAGGTCCTGGAGCACCATCACCTCACAGCAAGAAGGTCCTGGAGCACCGTCACCTCACAGCAAGAAGGTCCTGGAGCACCGTCACCTCACAGCAAGAAGGTCCTGGGTTCGACTCCGCCCAGTGGCCTTTCTCTCCTGTCTGTGTGGGTTCTCTCCGGGTCCTTGGCATTAACTCGACCCTCTAACATAGAAGGACTAGTGGTTTGAGGATGGATGGTTGGCTGTGAAGTTTATTTATAAGTGTTGAACAACCCAAATGTCAGAGAGTCAAACCGGAAACCTTTGGTGGGACAGACCCAAACTATATGAGCACTGGGAATCAAACCAGTGTTGTCACACCAGTCTGTTATATGTGCAAAACATTAAGAAATAAAAGAAAGAATTATTGAAGTTCAATAGTTTGAGGGAAATCAATCACTGACTGTTTTGGTATGAATGTGTAATGTATAATGACTCCCTCTTTGAATGTCTGTAAAGCGTCTTTGAGTACCATGAAAGGCGCTCTATATATAAGATGTAATATTAGTATGTATTTATATAGTGAGGTATTTGCATGTTCGGTGTGAGAACAGAAGTTCAGGTAGAGTTTAAGTTGCCTGCAACCTAACTCATTACATTGTTAGTTTATAAATGCTTTGTGGCGCAAAAACAAACAGAACTCGTCTGCCTTCAGTCATGAACCGTGTTGGAAACATAACGCGCGTGAATCTGCTCAACGTCGACCGACATCTTGTCACTTTTGATCGTTAAATCGTTTCATTTTTAGCCGCTAACATGTTTTTCTTTAGGCACCTTTCAGGACAGCTGTGTCCTCCCGCCCCTCCAAGCAACGACCAATCAGACATTTTCACGGGCCCAGCGCTCGTCTGATTGGCCCGAGTTTGGGCGTGACCGTGGTCCTGCTCGGCTCGTGATTGGCGGGCTGGACCGTCACTGGCTCCAGCCGTCGTTGGCGTATTAAATCGCGGGCTCGATTCTGTAGAGAAGAAAGTACCAGCTAGTCGAGGCTAAAAGCTAACACTCATTCCTCATCGGCCCGCACGCACGCTCTGACATGCGCACTCACACGCACGTGCAGCTCGTGAGGGGCTCGTTTACGCGCACACAGCTTTAGTGGGCTTAAAGCTACGAGCTACTTCCTGCATATTAGCTGGACGTGGCTAGCTGGAGGAGCTAACTGTTTACCAGGTCTGCTTTAATTATTCATGAGTGCGTGATTGGTGGAGACAGTGATAGGGGCGGGGCCTGAGAGGGTTTATTACACCAAGTGTTTCTGCAGGACACAGTGAGTACCATTATTGATCATCGATCTGAAACAGATCGCTGGATACTACACTGAATTGAAACTACTCATACGAGAATGAAAGTACTTTTACAAAGTTGTGTCAAGTGTTTCACAGTGTGGCAGTAGTACTTTAGATGCTGTAACTAAGTACTTGTATGAACGGTATTTTTAAGTGCAATCAAAATAAATAGAATAATAACCCAACTATTTGGTTAATAGATATGTTTCAGCGGAAGTTATATAAACTGTTGATTAATTCTTTTTTTTTTAAAGTCACTAAGTTGTTTGATATATAAAGTGAAGTAGAAGTACACATTTTACATATTCACTACAAAACTTTGTCTGACCTCAGAATATTTGCGTATTGGTTGATTACATTTTGGATCAGTGAATGTGATTGGCTCTGCCACCTGTTAGTCAATTACCCCTCCCCCTCCCACCTGTCCACAGGTGGAAAATGATCAAGATGTCATTGGACAAGGAGGCTCTCCTCCCTCATGAGGTCAGCCCCGCCTTCCCCGCCATCGGCCTATCAGAGCAGCCGACCAAGCCCCGCCCCCTGCACAACAAGAACGGCCTCCAGTTGTCTAGCAACCACCAGGACCCCATCGCCTGCGCTCTTCCAGTTCAGCAAATTGCCAAGAGGCGATACTCCATGAGCGTTGGCTTCAAGGGTCTGGCAAAGCGGCGGCGGCGAGCCATCAGCGACAACCAATTAGAGCCCGTTCTGCCGAGTCACTTTCTGTTAGGCGGAAACATCTTCGACCCGCTCAATCTCAACTCACTAATGGACGAGGACGTCAACAGGTACGTTTCTCCGTCTCTAATCAACCGATTGGTCGGTGGATCAGTCAGACGTAAGCATTACCGTCTTCCTCCTCAGGGCGACCAATCAGGAGACGCCAAAGTGCTCGCCCCTGCCGACGAGGGCCGCAGACCCCGTAGAGATCCTGGTTCCTCGGGACATCACCGACCCCCTCAACCTTAAGGGAGGGGCGGGGGACGGGGAGGGGGCGGTCCTGCTGTCCCCACTGAAGTCCAAGAGGAGACACAGGAACCGGCACCATGGAGGAGGGGGAAGGGGATTGGGGGAGGTGCTACCTGCGCGACTATTTCCCCCCACAGCTGGACTGACGGGTGATTATAATAATATAAACTGTGTAAGCGTCACATTGTTGGAAACGGAACCATGCTGAGGGGAACGCAGAATAACGCTATGACATCGATCTTCTCTGGGCAGTTCCTCTGGTGACCAGAGGGGGCAGCGCTGCAGCGTCTCCTCTTCCCTGTGAGCTCAACACAGCCATCACCTGTCGGGACGATGTGGCCCCGCCCCCCATCTTGCCCCGTAGACACACCCACCCTCCACCGGGGCACTCCCACAAGCCCGGTAGCCAGGGCGATGGTCGAAAACGCAGACGCACCACCTCTGCAAGATCGGCAGAAGCTGCGGCGACCACAGCTAAGCCAACGAGATTCGAGACGCCGCTGGGAGGAGCTAAAGTTGGGAGGTAAGTGTGAGACCTGATGTGAATTTAAGTCCCGTGATCTGATTGGCTGCATGGACACAACCTCCGCGCTGCCCCCTCGACAGGTGTGGAAGACCTCAGCACGGATCCGCTCAGCCGGTGCAGAAGAAGAAGGACAGGCAACGCTACAAATATGGCAACCACAGCTGTTTCTACGGTTACCAGGGCTCCTACGGCGATGCCGCTGAGGGGCATGTCGGGGTGGAGGAGGACCCGCGGCTCCACCTCCTGCAAGCCGATTGGTTCAGAGACAAGAAGGTGCTAGACGTGGGCTGCGGCGCAGGTCATCTGACGCTGGCCGTCGCCCGCAGGTTTGACCCCGCCCACATCCTGGGGCTGGACTTAGACCGCCAGCTGGTCCACGCTGCCAAGCAGAACATTAGGCACTTCCTGTCACATGACCTTGTGGTAGAGGAGAGGAGAGGAGCACAAAGAGCCTCCTCTCCTAGCAGGACGGGGGAGGAGGGGCAGCAGGCTCTGCCCCTCCTCCCCCTGCCGCTTTCCTTCAGGGTAAGTCGAGGTCCTCTCTCTGCTCCTCCTCTCCTACCATCGTCTTCCTCCTCCTCCAGGTTCCCCAACAACGTCACCTTCATCCAGGTGAGTCTCCCTCGCACTGCACAGCTGCATCCAGTGGAACTTCTTTAAATGACATCACGGATCTGACTCCTCCCACAGGGGGACTACGTGTCTAGGGGGAACTGGTGGCCTGGGCGGGGCCAGTATGACATCATCCTGTGTCTGGGCGTAACCAAGTGGGTGCAGCTGCAGGCGGGCGACGGTGGCGTGGTCGCACTGTTCAGGCGAGCCTATCAGAGTCTGTCGCCGGGTGGATTATTCATGCTGGAGCCTCAACCGTGGAGCAGCTACAGCCACAGCAAGGGGGCCTCGGTAAGCCTTTTCTATACGCTCAATATATGTGCACCCACATACACACTAACACAAAGTTGTGTGTTTCAGAAGGCAACTGATCGTAACTTCAGGAGTTTGAGACTGAGACCTGAACAGTTCACCTGCTACCTGACTGACAGCGTGGGATTCACCTCATACAGACTCATCACACACTCAGGTACACACACACTCAGTACACACAAGCACTAGGGTACGCTCACATTCCCTCAGCTACACACACTCAGTACACACAGGCACTAGGGTACGCTCACATTCCCTCAGGTACACACACACACACTCAGTACACACAGGCACTAGGGTACACACACACACTCAGGTACACACAGGCACTAGGGTACGCTCACATTCACTCAGGTACACACACTCAGTACACACAGGCACTAGGGTACGCTCACATTCACTCAGGTACACACACTCAGTACACACAGGCACTAGGGTACGCTCACATTCACTCAGGTACACACACTCCGTACACACAGGCACTAGGGTACGCTCACATTCCCTCAGCTACACACACTCAGTACACACAGGCACTAGGGTACACACACACACTCAGTACACACAGGCACTAGGGTACACACACACACTCAGTACACACAGGCACTAGGGTACGCTCACATTCCCTCAGGTACACATTTGCCTCAGCGGGCTTTACAGTCTGTACATCTTCTGTTCCGACACACTCACTCAGGTACACACAGGCGGCAGTATACACACACTCATGTGTATATACACACACACACAGACAGACAGGTGTCCACTCACTTGTGATCTGATTGGTCGATTCTTCCAGGTAACCAGCGGCCAATCTACCTGTTCCATAAAGGTCCAGCCCACAGGAAGTGATGTCACCTGGACAGGATTTGACACCTTCTTTCTTTGAGGCCCCAGTTTCTACGGCAACCACCCTAGAATTTGTAACTCGTGAGCTCCCGGCCGATTGGTTGGACAGTGGAGTCAGTGTGATGACATCACAGACAATATCACAGCGAGGGTTGCTGTGAATTATGATTGGTTGTCGCTGGCTAATCATGCAGAGCAAAGGATTGTGGGTTACTGTCCTCAAGCTGCGGGACCTCTGATTGGACAATGGACACATCTCTGCCGGAGTTTGTTTTTTTTGTGAAATAAATGGATGCTCTTTTTTTCTGAATTTGAATCTTCGGGTGAACTTTTTTTACAGCCGAAGGTTTGAACCAACAAAGGAGACAAAACATGACCCGTTTCTATATGCGCAGTAAGGTAGGCCACGCCTCCTCCAACTGGAGCCAATCACAGAGAAGCTGAAAGGTTTTAATTTGATGAGCACCTCATGAATATCTGATGATGTAATCAATCACATTATATCGCAAAAGGTTTTATTGACCCTCATGAATAAATATGAGATTAAATTATGTTTGATGGATGGGCGTGGCCAATCTCACAGCCCCAGCTCCACCCCCCTATTGAGGCCCCGCCCACCCTGACAGCAAATCTGGCTCCATATGTGGGCTGAGTCAGGAGAAAAACGTGTCATGTGATGTAAGGGGTGTCTCTCTCCCAGTGAAACCAGCTCACTGAGCCACAGACTGGTTCTGGTGCTGGGAGACTGTAAAAGAGGTCCAAGGTCTGACACGCACGTGTGCGCACGCATAACATCAAGTCCTCACATTGAGGTTTGATTGACAGCTCACCTCCTGGTAGGAGTCCATCTGCTCCACAGCCTTCAGGTAAACACATTAAACACTCATCATGACATCACAGACCACATGGGGAAACGTGTGTGTGTGTGTGTGTGTGTCAGACACGATAAAACCACAAAGAGACATATTGACACGAACAACCAGGACGTGAGAAGAACTCTCGGTCTCGTCTTTTGTCAGTTTCTTCCTTTTTTCTACCCATCCAAGGGCTTCTTAGGGGTAAAGGTCAGAGGACGTCGCATGTGTATAGACTGTAAAGCCCCACAGGCTGTTTGGGGATACGTGATTTTGGGCTATACAAAATAAAATGAATTGAACTGTCTCTCTTCCTGTGTATCTGACTGTCTCTGTCTTCATTGTTCTCCAACTCGTCCCAGATGTCAGAGGGGGAAACCGTGTAAAACAAGAACTACAGCCTCCGTCTGTCTCTACCTGTCTGTCTTAGCTGTCAATCTCTTTTCCTGTCTCTCTGTGTCTCACTCTCTGTGTGGGTCAGTGATTAATAATTGTGATTAATATTTGTTTTGCATATTCATATAAAAGTTAATGATTAATTTGTGGATTGGTATCTTGAATCAATAACATGAAATGTGATTTATGCCCATTTACAGTCTGCAGGTTGAAAGGCATCATGGGAAACGTAGGAAACGACCGGGTCAGGGCCCGGAAGCAACATCACTTCCTGCCGGCCGCAGGAATGTGGCGGCGGGTCCGAGCGGCCAATCAGAGGCCGGCATTTACAGAGGGGAGCCGCACAGGAATTCAGGGAGGGAGGAGCCCACAGGAAGAGGAGCTACTGGGGGGTCAAAGGTCACATGGCGTTCATAAGGCGTTGCCATGGGAACATGACCCACAATGCTCTGGGGCCGACAAAGAGACACGCTGTGCAACTTCATTGACATCATCGTCTCACCTGAGCTCCAGGTGTGAAACAGAAACCAGCGTCCTCCTCTGTGCTTACTTGTCCATTTGTGTATCTATGTCTCTTTATGATCTCTGTAAACAAACAAATAAACAACAAACACTTCATATTAAAGAATATTTGTCAAATGTTTTCAAAATATAATCATTTCGTTTAAATTTAAAATACAAGAGGTTGTTCACATACATTCTGGATTTCAACATTGTTACTGATGTGTTATGTTACAGTTACAGTTATGTTTTAATTAATAATAAATGAATATATTATTATTCATATAGTATTTAATCGTGAACGTTTTACCCTTTTATTATAATTACTATTATTCAGATTGTTATTATGATAAGGATTTTTATTAGTAGCATTATTATTATTAAGGATCCACAGATCCTTCAGAGCTGTCTGCCCCTCTGATGATTGACGGATCGGGCAGCCAATCACAGCCGGCGGAGGGGGCGTGGCCTCCTCGGCTCTCCAGAGGAGGAAACTTGAAGCTGCTTTTGTCCCAAACTTTTGAGTCCGCTGGATCCTGGAGGTCTGAACCGGAGAACCGGAGAAACGGGCCAACTGGAGGCCACACGGAACCACACGGAGCTCGGACCGGTCGGGACGACCCGCTCTGCGTGTGTCGCAACGTGAGGGTGAGACGGGGGTTTTACCGTGAACATCCATGGAGAACCGCAGCCTCTACATTATTCTTCTGCACTTTTTTGGGCGTCCATCTTGAAAAGTTGTCTCAGCAAAAGACTCCGCGGCCCCGATGAGGCGCGCGCGGCCGACAAGGCGCGCGTCCTGGTGACGGTCAGTGATCGATACTTGTGATGGAGGGTCAGAGGTCAAGGCCCTCCTCCTCCTGCGGACTGTTGGTTCTGCTCCTCCGGCTGCTGACCTGCTGCGTGGCCGAAGAAGGTAAGTTTGTCCTCTGCGGGCTTCTGTACTGATCAATACTTGCATTAATAGGTCATTATTAATATAAATGAATACGATTAATAACTAAAGAGTAGCTTTACTTATTGATACTTCATATTTCTAAGTAAATACTACCGTTACTTCAGAAACATCTGTAAACACACCTGTGATGAATCTTAAATGATTCAAAATGAATTGTTTGATGTCATTGATACAAGATAATGATAATAAAGATACAAAATAACTGAAAGAACCCAAAAGAAGTACTTCTACATAATGATAACGTACTAATACACACTGAGAAAGTACTTACTACACACAGTATATAGTGCTGTGATTTGTCAGGAGGCGGAGCCTCTACCTGCCTATTGGGCATCCGTTACCATGGCGATCCTCCAGGTGAGAAGTGAGAGACGACTCGTAATGTTCCCATCATTAGAGAACGAGAGACCACACACCCCATAAACAGTGTATCTGGTGATACGCGTGCAGGACAAACACACACAAACACACACAGTGAGGCTCAGCTTATCATGTTGAGTAGTACCGTGTGTGTGTGTGTGTGTGTGGGATGATCCATGAGGTGTGTGATGGTTCCACGAGGTGTGTGATGGTTCCATGAGGTGTGTGATGGTTCCATGAGGTGTGGGATGATCCATGAGGTGTGATGGTTCCATGAGGTGTGTTATGGTTCCATGAGGTGTGTGATGGTTCCATGAGGTGTGTGATGGTTCCATGAGGTGTGTGATGTTCCATGAGGTGTGTGATGGTTCCATGAGGTGTGTTATGGTTCCATGAGGTGGGATGGTTCCATGAGGTGTGGGATGGTTCCATGAGGTGTGGGATGGTTCCATGCGGTGTGATGGTTCCATGAGGTGTGTGATGGTTCCATGAGGTGTGTTATGGTTCCATGAGTTGTGATGGTTCTCTGAATGTCTCTCAGAGCTTCTGATGAACACCAAGTTGGAAACGTCGGACCTTCGATGGACGAACCATCCACCTGAAGATCCTCAGGTACACATATGGAAATGCAGCCTGTTAGCTTACAGCTAACGTTTACCATTAATCTCAATGAAGCAGGCTAACCCTTAACCACCTCGCTCTAGTGGGAGGAGCTGAGCGGGTTGGACGACGAGGCGAACAGCGTGCGGACCTATGAGATCTGCACTCCGGACAGCCTGTCCTCTTATTGGCTGAGGACGCGCTGGATCCCCCGGGGGGCGGCGACAACCCTCTACGTGGAGATGCGGTCGGTTTGCCTCGGCGTATTCGTGCTCAGCTTATGCGATGTGGCCATCGAGGGCTAATCAATAATAGTCTCCTCAGGTTCACCATGGTGGACTGTGCCAGCCTGAACACGCGCCACTGCAAGGAGACCTTTAACCTCTACTACTACCAGTCGGACAGCGACGAAGCCACGCCCACCCACCCGGCCTGGATGGAGAACCCGTACGTCAAGGTGTCCACGGTGGCGGCGGACCACCTGATGAAGAGAGGCGTGAGGCGCTCCAACGTCAAGCTGCTGCGCCTGGCGCCGCTGGTGGGGGCGGGGCTCTACCTGGCCTTCCAGAGCCAGGGTGCCTGCATGGCGCTGCTCTCCGTGCGCGTCTTCTACAGGAAGTGCCCGCCGCTCCGCTCCGCCTTTGCCGCTTTCCCAGAGACCGTTCCCCACTCGCTGGTGGAGCAGGTAAGTGACATCACAGTGACTGACTGTTATTATTATTATTATTATTATTAAATAAGCTACTTAGTTTAGTTTATAAAATAAGACCTTTGTTTACTTCAAAATAAAATGTGCACCAGAATCCAGACCAAACTAACATTTTAAATAGAGTGAATATTTAGGTCAAAGAATAAAAGCTTTGTTTCATTTTGCTTGAAAAAGCGTGTGTAATTATACAAAGTCATACTTAAGAAAATTATACTTTATTATGTTTGTTACAAAGTCCCTTTGACGTTTTGTCTTTTTTTCTGCAAAAAAAATTCTGCAATGGTGCAAAAGGTAAAGAACTATTTGTTACTCTGAAACGCGTTTGTGTTTTGCAGGCTCAAGGTGTGTGTGTGGAGAACGCAGTGACACCGCCCGGCGAGCAGTCTCAACCTCCCAGCATGCTTTGCGGCGAGGACGGGCAGTGGGTGGGGCAGCCGACGTCCAGCTGTGCCTGTCGCCCCGGTTACGTGGCGGGGGAGACAAACGTGCGCTGTCGAGGCGAGTTTACAAAATAAAAGCACCCTTATTTAACCGCATTGCTGGTAACCGAGGTCGCTGCTACACACACACACACATACACACTCTGCTACACACACACACACACACACACTGCTACACACACACACACACACTGACACCTGTGTGTGTGTGTCCATTGTAGTCTGTCCATCCCGGGAGTGGGATCCTCCTCTGACGTTCTCCCTGAGGTTTCTTCCTTTTTTCCCTGTTTGGGGAGTTTCCTGTGCTGATGGAGGGTTTCGGGGCAGAGGATGTTGTATGTGTACAGACTGTAAAGCCCTCTGAGGCAAATTTGTAATTTGCGATTATGGGCTATACAAAATAAAATGACTTGACTTGACACACTGCTACACACTGACACACACACACTGACACACACACACACACACTGACACACACACACACACACACTGACACGCTGCTACACACACACACACACACTGACACACTGCTACACACACACACACACACACACTGACACACTGCTACACACACACACTGCTACACACACACACACACACACACAGGAGGGATGGCCTGTGTGTGTGTGTCTGGCAGAAGATGGCGGTGATGACATCATTGCAGTTTTTCCACATCCTGTTGGAGCCAAGGTCACTTCCTGTCCCTCATTGTCTCAGGCGTCCTCTCTGGTCCTCTGACTTACTGTCCAGTTTGACAGAAGAACAAAGACCTTCAAGGTCGTCGCTCGAGTCCCAAACGGTCCGACGGCTTCTAGGACGGGTGTTCACGGTTTGATGCTAATGCTAATGCTAACCCCGTGTGTGTCCGCAGCCTGTCCCTCGGGTCAGTTCAAGCCGGGTTTAGGACCTGGCGTGTGCACTCTGTGTCCAGACAGGAGCAACACTCTGATCCCAGGCTCCGCCTACTGTCTCTGTCACCATGGTTTCCACCGCGCGGACGCCGACCCGCCCCACGCCGCCTGCACAGGTACGACCGTCCTCGTCCTCCTTCTGTGGACGTGGAGGTAAGCAACCGTTTCCCAGGATGCATTTCTCCATGCTGCCTGCTTCACGCCTCCACTGTGTGATGTCACAGCGATGTCATCTGTGAGACAGAAGCCACACCCCCTTCTGAGAAGGTTCATGGTTCTTCTGTTCCAACGGGGAACCGATGAGGGAATAAGATGGTTTCAGAGACACACACAGTTCACAAGCTCCATTATTCTCGGTCCACCGGCCGACAGTTGGGCCACATTAAGAGTGTGTGTGACGTCACTGACGTTGAGCAGCAAGTACAGAATAATCACGGGTTAGCTTAGCTTAGCACTGCCTGTGAGCCTGCCTGACTCTGACCTCTGACCCCCCAGGCCCTCCCTCTGCTCCCCGGTCCATTGTGAGTCAAATCAACAACACCTGTGTGACGCTGGAGTGGAGCGAGCCGCTGGACCGAGGAGGACGAGGAGACCTGAACTACAGAGTCCTCTGCTCCAGATGTGGGCCCGCCTCCCAGGTACAGAACCCAGACCAGCTGGACCAGAACTGTTAGGTCCTAGTTAGAAACCAGGAACCGCACGTGGAGCCGGTCAGGAGTCCTGGACTCTTCACTGGATCACAGCCGACGACCACTAGACGTCCGCATGCAGCCTCCTGGTACGAGGGAGTGTGTACGCGTGATGTAGCACAGCAGTGATAGCAGAAGGCGACTCGGGGTCACAGGTGAATGTGTGTGTGTGTGCGATAACGTATGAGTGGGTATAAATGTGTCAGATACAGATGAGTCCGTTTCCTGTTGTAACGCAATTAAACCAGGACAATGAAACCGTATATTGTGTAAAGATAATCGCACAATAAGAAGTATCCCGTTACCAGAACCACCAAGACTATGTAGAACACAACGACGAGGCCTCTGCTCCACATGTGGACCCGCCCCGCAGGTACCAGGACCAGGTAGAAAAGAAATAACCCAGAACCTTTGTGACCAGTCGCCATATGCAATATACTGACTTATCGCACAATATGTGAAAATAAGTGCGTGTGCAACATTCATTTTACAGATAAATAAACGTCTCCAACATTTCAGTTGACGGCACTGTGCTTGTGTCTGCTTTCACTGTGGGGGCGGGGCTTAGGCAGCGCCATCCACCGTGTTACCAAGTGTGATCTGTAATCTACAAACAGCGTGAACCGGTGATACCGAGCCGCCATCTTCACCTCCGCCGTGGGAACGTTTGGGTTTTAAGCCGAATGAGAGAAGGGACCGACTTTAGAAACAGTGGAGACGAAAACCGGCAACACAACTAAGCTAAAATCCCCAACAACCCCCCGGTATCTCAGCCCGAAGTGCTCGTAATAATCGCACAACAGAAATTTGATATGGTGACAGGCCCTGACCACGCCCCCTCCTGCCTCCTGCTCAGGGATTGGTCACCTCCTGTTCTCCATGCGATGACAGCATCCTGTACCGCCCGGCGCAGCGTGGACTGACCCGGCGCCGCGTCTCTGTGTGGGGACTCCGCCCTCAGTCCAAGTACACCTTCACCGTCCAATCACTGAACGGCGTCTCTGCTCTGAGCCAATCAGAGCCGGCCTCCGACAGCGTCAACGTCACCACCAGCAGAGACGGTAAATCGCATACACACTGCTATATGTATATGTATGTATGTATATATATGTGTGTGTGTCTGTGTGTGTGTGTGTGTGTGTGTAGTTCCTCCTGCAGTGGCCGGCCTGAGGAGGGTGGCGTCCTCAGAGTCCAGTCTGTCTCTTGAGTGGAACGTCCCAGTTGTGCAGAACCAGTTCCAGATCCTGGACTACCAGCTCCGCTACAGCCCGAAGGTACACACGTAACACACGGTAACACACGTTACACACGGTAACACACAAACAATGGGCTGCGATGTAATGGCTGATGTCATCCCTAGGAGGGCGAGGGGGCGGGGCAGTGGCAGTACGTGTCCAGCAGGTCTTCTTCGGTGGTGGTGACGGGGCTCCGGCGGGCCGCGAGGTATCGGGTTCAGGTCAGAGGTCGTTCTCAGGCCGGTTACGGGTCCTTCAGCCCGGAGAGCAGCTTCAGCACGCTGCCTGAGGGTGAGACGCCGTCTGTGCGGGTCCAGCTGTTGTTGTTTACGTGTTGATGATTTACGTTGGTGTGGATTCCCTCAAGGTGTCGGTTCTCAGCTGGTGGTGACAGCGGCTCTCGTCTCCATGGGGATCCTGATGCTTGTTGCCACGGCGATACTGGCTCTGTACTGCTACCGGTAAGAGTGTGTTACTTTGTTACTGTGTGTGTTCAGGATGCTCCCTCCCTGCAGAACAATGGGACCCTGACCTCACACACACACAGACACACACTGACACAGACACACACACAGACACACACACACACACTGACACAGACACACACTGACACAGACACACACACTGACACAGACACACACACACACACACACACACACACTGACACAGACACACACACACACACACACACTGACACAGACACACACACACACACACACAGACACAGACACACACACACACTGACACAGACACACACACAGACACACACACACTGACACTGACACAGACACACACACACACACACTGACACAGACACACACAGACACACACACACTGACACAGACACACACACACACACTGACACAGACACACACACACAAAAACCAACCACTCATGTTATGTTATCTGTCTTTATCTCTTCATCTTCTCTCAAAGAGTCAAGTTTTCTCAATATAGTCAACATGTGTGTGTGTGTGTTTTTTGTGTCTGTGTGTCTGTGTGTGTGTGTGTGTGTGTGTGTCTTTGGAAATTAAGTATTTTGCAGCTGCTGAAAGTCTCCCGTCTGTCTTTGTCCCCATCAGCAGGAGGGTGAAGGACTCTGAGTTGACTGATAGAAGTGGACACTACCAGATGGGACAGAGTAAGTTTGACCAATGGGATTGAGTTACGTTCACTGCTGTCGTGTGATGGTGACGATGTGGTCGTCATAGCGATGAAGGTGTACATCGACCCCTTCACCTACGAGGACGCTAACGAGGCGGTGAGGGAGTTCGCCAAAGAGATTGAGGCGTCTTTTGTGAAGATCGAGGAAGTGATCGGAGCAGGTGAGCGTCACGCCTTTACCTGAAGCACACGCCCACACGCGTACATACGTGTTTTAAACGAATAAACCTCACAGATAAAACATTCATTTCATTCATATTAACCTAATTAACAGTATTAAAGTTGAAACTCACGGATGTATTTCCAATACTCACCTGTCCAGGGGAGTTTGGCGAGGTGTGCAGAGGTCGGCTGAGGGTCCCGGGCCGGCAGGAGAACTACGTGGCCATCAAGACGCTGAAGGGCGGGTACACGGACAAGCAGAGGCGCGACTTCCTTTCGGAGGCGTCCATCATGGGTCAGTTCCAGCACCCCAACATCATCCACCTGGAGGGCGTCATCACCACTTCCTGTCCCGTCATGATCCTCACGGAGTTCATGGAGAACGGGGCGCTGGACAGTTTCCTGAGGGTGAGACCACGGTGAACATGTCTCCCCGTCCCCGCCCACCTGTCTGTGTCTCACCACCTGTGTGTGTGTGTGCAGGTGAATGACGGACAGTTCACCCCCATCCAGCTGGTGGGGATGCTGAGGGGCATCGCCGCCGGCATGAAGTACCTGTCGGACATGAGCTTCGTCCACAGAGACCTGGCAGCCCGCAACATCCTGGTCAACTCCAACCTGGTCTGTAAGGTGAGACCGCCCACCTGTCCGTCTACCAAGAGCCGCGCGAGGACATTCCATGTAAAGGCAACGCACAGACGCGGCTGATGAGGCGTGACAGCAAGTCCTGCGTGTGTTGCAGAGCGATTCACCTCCAGAACAACAGGTGGAGTCACGTGTTTTGTTGAAGACGACCTGGAGAGTCACGTCTTTGTGTGTGGAAGTCGCTGGTTGCTTTATTTATTGATCATAGACTTTATTGCCCCGTGCATCCACACTGCTGCTTTTCATCAAGGACACATTTGTCCCGTATTTTGCTCCACGACTTTGTCCCCCTCGTTGGTGGAGATCTCCCTCCATGAATCAGAGGCCATCCGGCGTCCTCATAGTCCGCCAATGACGGCTTGTACAAGCGCTCATATTTAAAAGCTCTTCAATCTGATCCGTTCTCTCGTAAACGTTCTTCCTTTTAATAACGGCCGTGTTGTGCTGTGAAAACGGAGACGTGAGACTCTAAAGGACGTAGTCAGAGACCAATCACAGCCTGGTGCTGCAGGACGCTGCGGCGCTTTACACGCTAGGAGGTGTGAAAAGACACGCCAGGCGTGTCCCTGAAAACGCAGAAGCATAAACTAGGCTTAAGTTGGTGTCTGACCGAGAGACGATCCCACACAACAGGAAGTCACAACATGGCATCCAGACGCACTTCCTGGAGGAGTCGTTGACGTCATGAACCTGAACACAACACGTTTGCGGAGCAGAAACAGTGTTTATTTATTTCCATGGTGGAAACGATAACCGTCTTTACGGAGACACGTGACTGAGATAAGCCCTGCCCCCTTTCAGGCGCAAATGGCGCGAAATAACTACAACCAGTGGGGCGAGTGAACGCAGCGTAACAGGTGTGTTCTGTGCTTTCAGGTGTCAGACTTCGGTCTCAGCAGGTTTCTGACTGAAAACTCTTCTGACCCGACGTACACCAGCTCTCTGGTAGGTCAGCGACCTTCTCGTTCTTCTCGTCACCTGGCCGGTTCCTCATGGTTCTCTATACAGTTCCCCCATGCTTTTACTTTGAAAGCCTCTGTCTCGTCCTCAGGGAGGGAAGATTCCTATTCGCTGGACCGCCCCTGAAGCCATCGCCTACAGGCGAGTGTTAGTACTGCAGGTCGTAGTAATACTACTTCTCATGTAGTGCACTACACTGATTATTTTATTTGACTAACAGGAAGTTCACCTCGGCCAGCGATGGGTGGAGCTATGGCATCGTCATGTGGGAGGTGATGTCGTACGGAGAGCGACCTTATTGGGACATGAGCAACCAGGATGTAAGAAGTACTCCTTACTGTCCGTGTCTCTCTCTCTCTCCCCCGTCTCACCCTCCTGCCTGTCTCTCCCCCCGTCAGGTGATTAATGCCGTAGAGCAGGACTACCGTCTCCCCCCCCCACCCGAGTGTCCCGCCTCCCTCCATTCCCTCATGTTGGACTGTTGGCAGAAGGAACGAGCCAATCGGCCGAGATTCTGCGATATCGTGTCTGCTCTCGATAGGCTGATCCGAAAACCCGCCTCCCTGAAGGTGACGCTTGCAGAGGGCCACAGGTGAGACTCTTGTACCTGCTCTATGGTCTATTAGAGACCTGTCAATCAGCGCGTAGCCCCGCCCTGTAGCATCGCCTGCTTTATGATCTGTTTGACTCTAAACGGACCATAGTTACTAAATGATCATCATCTGTATGAAGAAGATTTAAAACGGTGTGGCCCGCCGGGGGTACCGACCCTGTCTGTCCCTGTCTGTCTGTCCGTGTCTGTCTCTCGTCGTCTGCTCCTTACTCACCTAACCTGTCTCTCTTAACCTTTCTCTACCCCGCGGTTCGTTCTCCAGTGACCTGTCTGTCTCCCTGTCTGCCTGTCAGTGGGTCCCAGCCCCTGTTGGACCAGCGTGTCCCCCCCTCCCTCTCGTCCTGTGGTTCTGTCTCTGAGTGGCTCCGGGCCATAAAGATGGAGCGATACGAGCCGAGCTTCCTTCAGTCCGGGTTCACCAGTCTGGACGTTGTTTCTCAGCTCAACACTGAGTAAGAATCTCTATAAATGTGCACATGAACATATATGTGGATACATTTACATGCGTGTGTGTGTATATATACATGTACCTGTGCCTCTGTTTCCACAGCGACTTGCTCAGAGTGGGCGTGACCCTCGCCGGACACCAGAAGAAGATCCTCACCTCCATCCAGACGCTCAAAGTCCACAAAGCTCCGCCTCCGCCGCTCTACTGACCTATCACAGCATTGCCCCCCCGGCTGAGCTGCCCAATAAGCACTACACTGGAGGATGCTGAGCCACGCCCATTCTTTATTTAACAGCTGAACGTTTCGACCAATTGGGAAGCCGGAGGGCTGTTGAGACTCCGCCCCATGATAGTCAGAAGCACAGCACATGTACAGCTGCTGTCATGATTGGACGTCCACTTTTGTTACATTGACCAATCAGCCCTCTGCTCAGGAAAACCGAAGCTCCGCCTACTTTTTCCAGGTGTTTTCATCACCCTAATCCAAAGCCGTGGAGCAACTGGCTAATCAGCCTCTTGCACAGCAGGGACACATGTCCGCCATTGGACAACTGCCCCCCTTTGCCCTGCTGTTTAAGCCCCGCCTGCCTCTGACTGCCAGACCGGTACCTCACACCCCCGGGTTCTTCATCTCCTGAACTAAGTCCACATGTGGTGGACCACATGTAGGTCTCTGGACCACATGTAGGTCTCTGGACCACAGGGACCCAAACGGACTACGAGGGGTCTGGAGCGGTTTTTAAATCTGCCATTCATAAAATCACTAATCAGTCTAGTCCAGAACTGGTTGTCTTTCTGGACTCTTTCTGCCTTCTGGAGCAAAACCACTAATTCCAGCTGATTTTTTTTTGTCCTTAAACCTCCCGGGTCCAAGACTCCGGTCCAAGACTCGGCTCCATCGTAGTTGTAGAACTGATGTTTTTGTATTTTAGCACTTTTTGTACCTGACGTTTTTATACCAAAGTCCTTTTTGTAAAGAAACGAAAGTGGATGTTTAACATGTGTCTTCTGGACCAAGAGTCCCTCTGCAGGACCTCCAGCTCAAAACCAGGAGGCTCCTGGACCATTAGTTATATGAATAAGTCACTGTTGTTGTCAGCCAATCAGAATAAAGATCAACAATATCTTATTGTATATAATGTGTATCATTTTCTTCCCTGTACATGCTGAAAAGTACAGTATTTAATACATTATAAATATTGAAATTAATTAAACAAATGAATATGAATAAATAAATCTGTCACAGCTAAATCTGGTCCTGCAGGAGGAAAAGACGGTCGGAACAACAAGGCCTGATGGAAACCTTTATTGTCATGTTTATTGGTAAACAGCTGTGTGTGTGTTCAGTGGGTGGAGTATTTGGGCAGCTGGTTCCCGAGGATCACCCGTCTCTCCACTCCGTCCTTAGAGATGCTCGCCAGTCTCACCACGCCGCCGCTGGACCCGTCTCTCTCCATCGCCAGAGACACCGCTGACAGACACACAGGTAGGACAGTCAGTGTCTGTCTCACACACACGTGTACACACACACACACACGCGTGCTGCCTACCTGCTGCGGTGAGCTCCAGACACTGGTCTTTAGTCATGTTGGGTTTGTAGTTGGAGTCCATGAAGCCGTAGATGTAGGAGCTGCCGCTGCCGCCCACCGACACCGGCTGCCTCACCAGCATCCCTCCAATGGGGACGCAGTACACCTGGGACAGGTGAGACAACTTTATAAACAACAGACACCAGCATCCCTCCAATGGGGACGCAGTACACCTGGGAGTGCAGTCCCAGCCTGTAGTACTACTGGTAGTAGAAGTACCTGCCCCCCCTTACGGCGGTCCCAGCCGGCCACCAGGATCCCAGCGGTCAGCTCCTCTCTGTATCGGTAGCAGCTCGCTCTGAACAGATTGGCAGCAGTCTCCACCAATGGGGGCTCGTCCAGCTCAATGCTAGGGGGCGGGACCAAGTGCAGGTAAAGTCAGCACGGTCTGACTGGATGCTGGGGCTGTCAATCAAACCCTCTGTGTGTGCGTTACCTGTGGAAGCCCAGCTGGTAGGTGACCACGTCAGCGATGGCCTGAGTGTCAGCAGCTGATCCAGACCTGTCAACAAAGACACATGAAGGTCAACACGGGGTCTGTGGGTCCTCTGGAGGTCCTCTGGAGGTCCATCAGTGGAAACACTGAGAGGAAGAAGAGGAGGAGGGTTCTGACCTGCAGCAGAAGATCCGGTCGTGGATCGGAGTCAGCTTGTCTGTCACTCTGTTGGCGATGTAAGCTCTGAGAGACAGACGGTCAGAGAGACAGAGGGGTTTAGATGGGTACAGTGAGACAGGTGAGACAACACGCTTTAGTCTCTTACCCGGTGGTGGTACGCGAGTCTGCTCCAATCACCACTCCTCCGTCATACTCCAGTGCCATGATGGTGGTCTGATGGAGACAGAAATATCGACTTGCTCATCAATCAGACACAAAATAGCATAAGTTATCGTCTACAGCCGTTTGATGCAGTGTTGACGCAGTGAGCCCGTTATCGGACAGCAGCCGTTAGCATCTTGGCCGGTCATATCACCGCCGTTCACCGGGCGCTCACTTCTATCAACCGGCTCCGCAACACACCGTTCACCGGGACTGAATCCATTCCGGTCCGGTACAATTTATCTCTCTTCTAGGCTGAAGACGAACATCTTATAGTTAGCATTAGCCTCCATTAGCTCAGCACAAGAAGTGCTGTATCATTCAGCCGCTGTTCTCAGCTTCAAAACGCTCCACGACCGGTTCCGGTATAGAGGGAGTGTACTCACCCCGGTGCTGACTTCCTGGCTGGTCCAGGCCGGTACCAGATCGTTTTTGGAGGACATCTGCTGTCCAAAGTACGGACTCATTGTTGCTGCCGCCATCTTGTTTCTGCTCTTGAGCCGTTCTGTCTTCTTATTGGTGCTTTACCGCCACCTTCTGCACCGGCGTGTGAGGGCGACACTGCCTATCGTTCTCCCCAAATACCCTCCCCAAAAAATGAAATAAGAAAAATAAATAAATAAATAAATATATATAATATGGACGTATATGTGTGTGTGTGTGTGTGTGTGTGTGTGTGTGTATCTATCATATCCGATAAAATATCCCTGTGCTCTTTAAAAAAGCTCGTTATTCTTTTGATGCATTGTTGTAGTAAGAGATACATACGTTTGTGTAATTAAATAACTTGTTTAATTTGAACTTGTTCCCGTCTCTATAACAGTTAAGTTCCCTTAAGCCCGTTTTGGTTCGGGCATGTAGGCGGACACCTGGCGGGGTCCTGAGCGCGGCAGGAGACCGGAAACAGAAAGAGAAGGTAAAACACACAGCGACATTTTAGAATACCTCATAGATCTCACTTTAAAGAATGAATCTCATGAGTTTGACCACACTATGTTGACTTCTAAGGACTCGTTGAATATGTTTGCTCAGCGTGTTTTAAGAAATGACGCTTTAGTGGAGAATCAGCCGTCAGCCACAGACGCTTTTAATATCGATTAATTCTGGACATTTAAACGTGAATGAATAACAACAACACGAGAGAGACCATCGTTTCGAGGCTTTAATTGATTCTCTAGGATCTGATCTTCAGTTCGGCACAGATGTGAAACTCGCACTGCTTATTGATTTAAATGGATGCATCTTTTTCTGGCAGAAAATCGATGCCATTTGTTCGTAATGTGTAACTTAATAATGTTGTGCCAGTAAAATGATGATAATGTTGTATACAATGTTATTATAGGACGTGTGTGTCTGATTTCAGATGACGGTCCATAACTTGTACATATTTGACCGTAATGGCAGCTGTCTGTATTATAATGAGTGGAACCGCAAGAAGCAGGCAGGAATCTCTAAGGACGAGGTGGGAGGAGCCTAACGACCCGATGACATCATTCACCTGTCTGTCTATTACCTGTATGGCTGATTACCTGTCTCTCTGTGCAGGAGTTCAAGCTGATGTATGGGATGCTCTTCTCCATCCGCTCATTCGTCAGTAAGATGTCTCCACTGGACATGTATCCTTCACAAGCCAGGCCTGTCTCTGCCTGTCTGCCTGTCTGCCTGTCTGCCTGTCTCTGCCTGTCTGCCTGTCTCTGCCTCCCTCCCTGCCAGTCTGTGGTCCTTAGCAGCCTGTCTGTCCTCAGGAAAGAGGGCTTCATGTCCTTCCAGACCAGCAAGTACCGTCTCCACTACTACGAGACTCCCAGTGGCCTGCGGTTTGTGATGAACACTGACCTGTCCGTCCCCAACGCCAGAGAGACACTGCAGCACATCTACAGCAGCGTGAGCTACACGCATCTACACGCAGCTACACGCAGCTACACGCAGCTACACGCAGCTACAGATGAACTGATCTCTGTCTCTCCGTCTGTCTCTCAGCTCTATGTGGAGTACATAGTGAAGAACCCGGTGTGTGTGTTGGGACAGTCTCTGGACAGCGAGTTGTTCAGCAGTCGGCTGGACTCATTCATCAGAGGACTTCCTTTCTACAGTCCCCGGGCCGCCTGATAGACGGACACACACACACACACACACACACACACACACACACACACTGATTATATTTATGTGATTGTTGGATTAAATAAATGAACACGATGCTGCGCTCTTCTGTCTTTATTACAGAGAACATGTCACAGACGGGATGTCCCGCTCTAGGTACAGACAGACAGACGGGATGTCCCGCTCTAGGTACCGACAGACAGACGGGATGTCCCGCTCTAGGTACAGACAGACAGGATGTCCCGCTCTAGGTACAGACAGACAGACGGGATGTCCCGCTCTAGGTACAGACAGACGGGATGTCCCGCTCTAGGTACAGACAGACAGACGGGATGTCCCGCTCTAGGTACCGACAGACAGACGGGATGTCCCGCTCTAGGTACAGACAGACGGGATGTCCCGCTCTAGGTACAGACAGACAGACGGGATGTCCCAGCCTAGGTACAGACAGACAGACGGGATGGCCCACTCTAGGTACAGACAGACGGGATGTCCCGCTCTAGGTACCGACAGACAGACGGGATGTCCCGCTCTAGGTACCGACAGACAGACGGGATGTCCCGCTCTAGGTACAGACAGACGGGATGTCCCGCTCTAGGTACCGACAGACAGACGGGATGTCCCGCTCTAGGTACAGACAGACAGACGGGATGTCCCACTCTAGGTACAGACAGACGGGATGTACCGACAGACAGACTGGATGTCCCGCTCTAGGTACAGACAGACAGACAGACGGGATGTCCCGCTCTAGGTACCGACAGACCGCCCTGTAGGGCAGATCTAGGTACAGACAGACAGACGGGATGTCCCGCTCTAGGTACAGACAGACAGACTGGATGTCCCGCTCTAGGTACAGACAGACAGACGGGATGTCCCGCTCTAGGTACAGACAGACGGGATGTCCCGCTCTAGGTACAGACAGACAGACGGGATGTCCCACTCTAGGTACAGACAGACGGGATGTACCGACAGACAGACGGGATGTCCTGCCCTAGGTACAGACAGACAGACAGGATGTCCCGCTCTAGGTACAGACAGACAGACGGGATGTCCCGCTCTAGGTACAGACAGACAGACGGGATGTCCCGCTCTAGGTACAGACAGACAGACGGGATGTCCCACTCTAGGTACAGACAGACGGGATGTCCCGCTCTAGGTACCGACAGACAGACGGGATGTCCCGCTCTAGGTACAGACAGACAGACTGGATGTCCCGCTCTAGGTACAGACAGACAGACGGGATGTCCCGCTCTAGGTACCAACAGACAGACAGGATGTCCCGACGTAAAATGATTTGTGAATGTAAACAAAGTCAGAGAACGAGAGCTGAGGTCAGTGAGACGGATTAACGCACTGATCTCACGCACACATCTGGCCATGACAGATGTGTGCGTTTGGACTGTAATCCCTGCTTGGAATAATCTGTAATCCCTCTGAAAAACATACTGCCAACCAGCAGCCACACACAGTTCAGTGCTGTGAGGACAAAGTGTCCCAACCTGGTCCAACCCTTTGTACAGTGCAGATCTGCCCTGTAATCTGACTACTTTGACTACAGTGAGGGTTTGAATATGCAGTACTTTTACTAGTAGTGGAGTACTTTCTATACATATATATATATATACACACATGTTATTAAAAGTGAATAGTAATAGTATATTAATAGTAAAGTAGTTAAACATGAAAATGCACAGTATTTATACACAGCACAATGAAATAGCAGCGCAGTATTAAATTAAAGCGCACAGTGGAAAAGGTTCTGAATTGAATTCAGTGGTTCGTGGTAATTGTACATAGAACCAGGAGGTGATTGTTGTACAGTCTTATTGCAGCTGTCTGCAATGTTTTCCTGTTTCTGGATCAACCTGTTGGAGAAGGTCCTCCGTGTCCCTGCAGTAGGCGGTGAAGACGTTGGTTGTCCAATATGGACAATAGTTTCTTCAGTGTCCTCCTCTCCACCACCTAGTCAATGAAGGGGCCGGCCTTCTTCACCAGCTTCTTCAGTCTGTTGGTGTCACCGGCTCCAATGCTGCTCCCCCAGCAGACAACGAGGAAGCCACAACAGACTGGTAGAACATCTCCAACATCTGGCTGCACACGTTAAAGGATCTAAGCTGTCTCAAGAAGAAGAGTCGACTCCTCCTCTTCTTGTACACAGCGCTGATGTTGGTCTCCCAGTTCAGTCTGTTGTCGATGGAGACACCTAACGGTTGTGGAGACTTCCTCCTGAAATCCACTACCATCTCTCTGGCCACGTTCAGAGTCAGGTGATGTCCTCCACCACTGTCCTCCACTCCTCCTCCCGTCTGTCCCTTATACACCCGACCACTGCAGACATCGGACCTTCTGCAGACGCCATCACAAAGAGTTGTACTGGAAGTCAGAGTGGACAAGGTGAACAGACATGTCCAGTCATGATTTCACCTGCGGTCGACCTTCATCACACGGGATGTGAGAGCAACTGGTCGGTGGTCATCGGGGCCACATGGGGTTGTCTTCTTACAGGGACAAGGTACGACGTCTTCAACAGCACCAGGACTTCCTCAGGCTCAGGTTGAAGAGACGTTGCAGGTCTTCAGGCCATCAGGTCCTTCGGTGGAGTCTCTCCAGCAGTCGTGTCTCACCTGGCCAGTCGTCACCATGGAGACGGGGGGTGGAAGAGCCCTTTGCTGTAGAGAGTTTACCAGTAGTGGATTTATATATATATAATATATATATATATATATAACCCACGAGAGAGAGATTAGGGGCAAGGGGCCACATTGAACATCTGTACACAGTCTGATAATTTGCTACCTTTAATCCAGACAGATGTGATATCTGCGCTCTGATTGGTGGGATTAAACCAGCAGGATTAATATCTCAGCCCCAGCAGAGAGGCAGAAAGACAAAGGTGGACAGACGGCAGGAATCACACACCTTTAACCAGGTAATGTGTGTTTGTGGGGGTTTTGTGTGTTTGTCTTTAAGTGTTTGTGTGTCTGTGTCAGAGTTTTAATCTGCTGCTTGTTAGCTTCCAGATGTTCATTACCCAGAAGCCCCAGCGGAGAAATCGTACGATAAAAACACACTGAACTCGTCCAGTGTTTTATTACGTTACACTTCCTGTGGTAGAATATTAGTTTTAACTAAACTGTAGTTTGATTTGTAGTTTTTAACTAAGCAGTAACACTAGTTTGATTAGTAGCGCTTGTTGGATTGTTAGTTATTGTCATCAGCATTCTGGTCCGTCACAACCCAAGCTGATATTTTCGGTTCCTCTGTTAGCATTAGCATTAGCTCTTCTGCCTCTCCTCGGGGTCGGCCATGTTTGCGGGTCGGGTTCCGGCCACAGGAGCCGGCGGCTCGGCGTCCGCGGGAGGAAAAGGAGGGAAGTTCTCCGTGGAGGAGCTTTACGGGTTCAACAAGAAGCCAAAGGGGAGCAGAGGGAATTCTGGGAAAGCGGAGAAGAGCGACGGGAAGAAGGAGCGCAAAGAGAAGGAGGAGTCCGTGCTGGCCTCCCAGATCCTGGAGGCCGCCCGGAGGCTGATGGAGAGAAGACGACTGGAGGTCTACCTGAAGGAGTGTGATGTCACCATGAAGCAGACCAGCATGCCGTACAGGTGAGAGACAGGGAGACATTAGAGACAGGAGAGGGACAGGGAGACGGTGAGACAGGTGAGAAACAGGGGGACATTAGAGACAGGAGAGAGACAGGGAGACAGACGGTGAGACAGGTGAGAGACGGTGAGACCGGTTTCTTATTTTCCTTTTCTTATTTCAGTTTGATCAATAACATTCTAACATATTTTCTCTCCTACATGAAGGTCAATTAGAAGAATAATTAAATATTCCAGCAAAAGGTTACTTTATAAGCCATAAATTATTATCTAACTTTTCAGAGTGTTTTAAATGTTTTTAACATTATTTTATAACGTCCAGCTACCAAATATCACATGTCAAAAACATATATATATATTTTCCTAATATTTAGTTAACTGTCCCTTGGGTGATGAATGTATATTTATAACAGTTTATACTAAAGTTATATATACACCTTTTTATTTAGCTGAGGCTTTTATCCAAAGCGCCTCAGGCAAGGCAAGTTTATTTGTGTAGCACTTTTCATACACAAGGCAGACTCAAAGTGCTTCACATCATAACATTTCATACAATAAAGTGAAATAAAATGCAGGAATTAAAAGACAATTAAAAACAGCAAATACAATTATAAATTAAAATCTTATTTAAATTGTTTAATTAAAAGCAGAGGTTAAAAGTGCAATGTAGGTAACATTTAGCAGAAGGCGAAGCTGAACATAAAGTTTTCAGTCTTGTTTTAAACGTGTCAGAGTTTAAGTCTTAAATCTTCAGGAAGTTTATTCCAGCTGTTTGTTGCGTAGTAACTAAATGATGCTTTCCCATGATTTGTATTTACTCTGGGAATCACTAACAGATGGTGTCAGAAGATCTTAGTGATGTTGAAGGCTTATGTAGTGGAAGCATATCAGTGATATACTTTGGCCCTAAACCATGTAGTGATTTATATGTGAGCAGTAGGATTTTGAAATTAATTCTCTGACATACTGGGAGCCAATGTAAGGATTTAAGAATTGGTGTAATGTGCTCACATTTTTTGGTCTTTGTTAGAACTCTAGCAGCAGCGTTCTGAACAAGCTGGAGCTGCCTGACAGTTTTTTTTGGAAGACCTGCAAGGAGACCATTACAATAGTCTAGCCTACTAGTTATAAAGGCATGTACAAGTGTTTCTAAGTCTTGAGCTGACATGAGCCCTCTAAGTCGTGCTACATTTTTGAGGTAGTAGTAGGCCGATTGTGTTACTGATTTGATGTGACTCTCCAAGTGTAAATCTGAATCCATAATAACCCCCAGATTTCTGGCTTTATTTGATGTTTTCAGAGACAGAGAGTGAAGGTGTTGGGTTACTTTAAACCTTTCTCTTTTAGCACCAAATACAATGAGCTCAGTTTTGTCTTCCTTTAGTTGTAGGACATTTTGACACATCCAGTCTTTGATTTGCTCAATGCACCTGCACAGAAGATCTATGGGGCGATAGTCGTTTGGTGATAGATACATAGATTTGAGTGTCATCAGCGTAGCAATGGTGGTCAGTTTTATTTCGTTGCATGATTTGTCCCAGTGGGAGCGTAGATGTTGAATGAGGTCATTCCCCCCAGAGGGAACAGAACCAGAACAACAAGAATCTAGAAAGAACAATTCCTTCAAAAACCACGTTAATGTGTTTTGAAATGTCA